TAGCAAAAGAAGATAGGCATTTTCGGGCCCAAAAACCCAAGAAAATAATATCGATGTAAGGATGAGCTCATAGTTGCATCACGAATCCTTGACTTTTTTACTATTATATGTTAATATTTCACTTGTTTTTTTTCCTAATCAGAATTTTGGATTTGGCTCCTAACTCGAAATCGCGGGATCCAAATTGCCTATCTAAATTGCGTGCATTGAAGGAGGTGATATTGCCAGCTGTTTTAGAACCATCTAATATAAGACGCTATGAAGTCAGTTCAGATATCCTCGATTTTGAGTGTATCGAAAGTAAGGTTATTTTTGAAAAGAATATCTAAATATTCCTTAAAAAGACCGTTTTCCCTTTTTAATACTGTTAACATTTACATAAATACACAAATATCTCGTAAGTGGCGTCCTCGTATGGTGGTTCAGAGACGTTCATAAATCCATTTTGCACTATTTCTAATCACTCTACATAGTATGAATTATACCATCAAATTTAGTCGAGCGTTCCATAACGAAGAAAGTTTGGCCTTTATTTCAATATACCAGTTAGTTCTCTATTGGCATCAGTTCCAAAGTGCTTTTATGTTGTGATTTATAGTTGGCAATCACAGCTTTCATTAGATTCTTTGTCTCTGAAATGGGCAAAATAAGCATTTACGTTGCGTTTAGTAAAAAAGTTTTTGATTTAACTACAAGTCCAATATTTCTCTATTATTCGTCTACCAGAAATTAGTTGACTTTAAATTCTACGCCTTTTTCCCATGGATTATTTATACCTATTTATGTATGACTAATATTTGAGTACAAAACTGAGTATATATAAAATATGTGGCCACGAAAACGTGCTAGTGATAACTTAAATGGACCATATTTGACACATTTCAAAAACGTATTGTGGCCATAATATTTATAAAATTCCGCTTAAAGTCTGCACTTTAAACATTATCAATTATTAGCGTATTACTTTTGCACCGCATGAATACAGATACTATTCTGTTATCCGTTTACTTATATCTCTACAGGAACTCAATATTTGGAACAACTCCGACAGGATATGTTTGACCTGGCAAAGCTCCAAATCGACAAAAGCATTGCCACGCTAAAGGACGACAACCAATCTCCCCACCGTCTTGAGGTGGCACGTCATATGATGTTGTGCCTGAAACACCTTAAAAAGTTTCACAACAGAGAGGAGCTGTTAACTTCAATAAAAAGAAATTTAGTAGGAAGCACGAAAAGTGAGTTCAATAAGCTAAAATTGTTTTTCCTTCCTGCAAACTTCCCCGAGATTCAGTACATCGTCCTAATTATAAAGGCATAGCAAAAAAATATGGAATAAAAAAGCTAATTACATTTTGACACTACAAAGGTCAAGTGGATTTGTGGACAACTTTATTGCTCGTCAAATGGCTAAAGAAACAAATTCTTTATTTACATTCCTTATTTACATTATGGACAAATAGCCAAAGTCCTACCCTTTCGATGCTTTGAGAAATTTTCTACGGCCTTGTGTTTCCAACCTTGAAGGAACAGAATAAGAAATTATAACATAAAAAGCTTGACTTGTGGAGGTGACATTTAGTTGTTGAAGCAACAGTTAAGCTAAGTAGTAAACTAATATAAGAAGCGCCTACACATAAAATGATAGTAAAGAGGTACATCTTTTCATTGGAATAAGAATAGGCTAGTCCATGCTTTACATAATAGCAACTACTGTACTTAATTTAATCTTGAGCTGGGAATAGGAAAGTTGTTTATATGCTAGAAATAACCAGTTACTACTATATGTCTAACTTTTGCTACTGACACAACAATTTAAATCACCTTAAGCAACGTATGAGACTCTAAGGGTAAGATAAAAACTAGAAAACTCATTGAGTAACTAAAGTTAGCTGCATTTGCGTCTAAAAAGTAGGTATTAATAAATTATTTCGATGGAGG